AAACCCTAAACCCTAAACCCTAAACTTAGTGAGGGGTCGCTTCCGTCGAGCGACAGACCCCGAACGCTCGGCCGAGGGCCTTACAGCCCGAGCGCCCAAGCGAAAAGAGAAACGGAAAGGTGAGGGTTAAGCCTCACCGTCTGTCCTGGACAGGCCAACGGACATCGGCCTTTTTTGCGACAACGTCAGTACTCGGCTAAGGGATGGCCGGCACCCAGACCACCTTTAGCGTAGCTAAAGTATAACCCCAAATCGTAACCCTTTGTCTCTGGAGGTCGGTTCAGGGTTTTGGGTTCAGGGTTTGTCGGGCCCCCCCCCCCGGGGGCCCCCTGGTCCCTGGTAGCTGGATTCCTGGACCAGGAGGCTGGCGAGGGGTCCAGGCAGGCCGGTTGCTCAATTTCGTGATTTTGGGGGCTTTTTCACGGATTTCCAGGTCCCGGGCCAAGGGCCCCCCGGGGCCAAGGGCCCGGCCGCCCGGGCCAAGGGCCCCCCGGGCCAAGGGCCCCCCGGGCCAAGGGTTCCCCGGGCCAAGGCCCCCCGGACCAAGGGCCCCCCGGGCCAAGGGCCCCCCGGGCCAAGGCCCTTCCGGGCCAAGGGCCTCCCGGGCCAAGGGCCCCGGGCCAAGGCCCCGGGCCAAGGGGCCCGGAAAGGGGTCCAGGCGAAGGGGTGGTCGCGGGCCGGGCCAAGGGCCGGGGCCCCCCGACCCAAGGGCCCCCCAAAACTAAGGGCCCCCGGGGCCAAGGGCCTGCCCGGCCAAGGGCTCTTGGGCCAACGGGGTCCAAGGGCCCCCGGAGCCGGCCTCCCGGGCCAAGGGCCCCCCGAACCAGGGGGCCCCGGGCCAAGGGCCCGGGCCCCCAAGGGCCCCCCTTGCCAAGGGCCCCCGGGCCAAGGGCCCCCCCCCTTGAGCCAAGGGCCCCCCGGGCCAAGGACCCTCCGCCAAGGGCTTCTCGGGCCAGGCCCCACGCGCCAAGCCGCCAAGGGTGCCCGGGCCAAGGGTCTGCCGGACAAGGGAGCCACTTCGAGCATGCAACACGTCCACGCTGCGAGCGTCATCGTCCTCCCGGAGTCTGCGTCGATGTCGATGTGGTCGGCGCTGGTCACGGGCACGACCGAGGCGTCCTTGTCTCTGGGAAGACCGATTGACTGCGGATCGTCGTCCCGGGCGAGAACCACGTCCGAGTCTGAGTCCGTGTCAGGGTTTCTCGAGACCTTCTGCGCGTCCGAATCGCTGTCTAGGTCGATGGCGAGTCGCTTTGCCGCTGGCCTTCTACTGAGGTCGTCCGGTTGCCGTGAAACTGGCGCCGGACTAGGGTTGGAGAGGTCTTGCTTGTGATACACGATCACATAGACCTTTTCCTCAGGCACCCGGCTGAAGAAACCTTCAACATGGCTGGCAACGGCGATGCGAGTGTCATCCAGTCGCCTGAATCCCTCTTGGCAGTGACGATACGCAACGTAGTGCCCCGAAGATGGGTCGTGGCCGATGTGTGTGATCAGGGACCTCAAGCTATAGGCGTTGCCCTCTGCCATGAGGATGTTGTTGCAGTACACATTGTGAGCCAGGAGCCCATGAGCAGAGTCCCATCGCTTCAGGAATATGAGTAGTACGTCTGGCCATTTGGTGATGCGGGTCTGATACAGAGGCATGTCAAGCGCTCGTCCTGCATTGAGACACTCATCAGTGCAGCATACCCAGTCCTGTAGGTCTTCTTGCACATGCTCCGCATTTAGGTAGTTGTTCAGAGCTTCTTGCACCGACACGAAACGCGTGGTGCCCATGAGGGGAAGCTGCAAGGACACGAATTTTTCCAAAGCCGCCGGGCGACTGTATGTGCAGTGCCTGCAGCGAAACCGTGGATGCTCTACTCCTTCCAGAAGTTCACGCAGGCCGGAACATCCCGTCAAAAGCTCCAGCACGAATTCTGCTGCGTCCTCTTGACGGCCATGGTAAAACAAGTCTGTCAGGGGTCTTGGAGTCACTGGGCCCAAGCGATTCGTCGTCGTGTTGATGACAGCAGTCAAAGCTCTCTCCGAGGGACTGAACCCAGCGCCAAGTCTATCTGCCAAACCCGGAATAGCCAACAGCACTTGGATGCCCGCGTTGATGAAACACGAAGTGCCCAGGTTCTCGAAACCTATCGCTGGAAGATCCATTCTGGACTATGACGATTGCGAGCGCTGATCAGCCACAGAAGCTGCGCGGCAAACGGAGAAGCAACTGAACACGAGTCGCGCTTATCCTTCCACATTGCAGGTCGAATGCACACAGGTCTCTAACGTTTTGCATGCCTGAGGTCGCTGCCGCTACTTGCGCACATGAGCCAGTGCGCAGGAACTTCTAAGTTTCGGAGAATCCACAACGTAGGCAACCAAGTGTTGGCGCCATGAGTCCTGCAGTTTCGTGACTTACGCACGGCGTCTGCCGACTCCAAAAGTTTCGCAGGCGCATATGCTCTTTACACATCAAACAGGCCCGTAGCATCAGAGCCTGCGCTTCCAGTGTTGGAAGCAGGAGCTGACATCTTGGACATGCGCGCCGTCATTGCCTCGACGAACTGCTTCTCAGTGATGGGCTTATGGTGGAGAGAGGCACGCGCCACAACCTCGGCGCAATGCGCCGAAAAGTAAGTGTTGGAGCCCGAGAGTAGGAAGAGGAGAGAGCGGAAAGGCGTTCTCTCCTGCGACAGCCATGCGTAGAACTTCTTCGCGGCCTCCAAAGTTTCCTTCTCGGAGCCGGTCATGCCCGGTCATGCCCTCGGACCCAGCGGCTGTTGCCTTCTGACGCTTCGCGGCGCGAAAGCTGCCAGTGTCCCGAGACGTCTGAGAACCCTTTCCAAGATTCAAGAGCACGAGGGCGGGCTCCAAGTCCTTGAGCTCGGCGTCGACCTTCTCGTAGACCGCCGGCACGATGAGCTTCTTCATGTCAGGCGAGCGAAAGTTTTTGATGGCTGCCAGCAAACCGGCCGCTGTGAGGGAAATGCCGGCCCCAACGTGCCAGGGATCGGTGTCTTGATTGGCGCATAAATGGCTATGGTACATAGCCTTTTTGTTTCCTTTCGATGCGGCGACCCAGACGTCTTGCAAGCTGAGCGTATCCAGGGCGGACTCTCCGTATGGCTCGAAGAGTTGGGACGCGACAGAGTCCCATGGATACAATTTGACTCTGCGACCGGCGGCCTGCTCGGCGGTCATCTTCTCCTGCGGCTCGGCCTCGTCGAACAGCGACATGGTGCCAGCCGGGCTGAGGTGCGTGTGCAAACACTGTACGGATGGGAGCGGCTGCGGTGCTGACGAGTTCTGCGCGTCGATAAAATTATTCACCATGCTGCGATGCGTGCACACACAGAAGAAGCCACTATGTCACTATGCGCTCCGACATTTGCAGTCATCTGATCTCTGTGAAACTTCGGTCTTAAGCGTACTATGGTTGCACGGGAGTGTCTTCTTGCAAGGTTTGCTTTACGTTACTCGGAAGAAGATTCGGGCTGCGTCGCTACTCATCATGCTCGGCGGTGCAGAGCTCTCAGACGACGGTTCTCGTAGTCCTGCATCGCCGCCTCGCGCAGCACGAGCTTGATGCGAATCAAAGCGTGCTGCAGCGGCTTGCCGTTCAACTGCTTCAGTAGATGTGTGACCCGGCTTTGACAGTTCATGTGCAATGCTCTGAGGTTGTCTCCGCTGCAGAGGTCGCAACGGCCATCCGGGCTAGCCGCAGTCGGCTCGCCGCCGCGGCCGAAGCAGCATTCCAATTGGTTGGAGCCCTCGCACATTCCGAAGCCTTCGTGCTCTCCCCACATTTCATGGAGGCGGTGCCCGCGAGCTTCACTGCCGGGCCAGTCGGTGATGGCCGACGTGCTCGATGAGGACTGCGCCGTTTCTGCTTTGACAGCCACCTTACTGTCTTCGGCTTTCACCGGCAAGTCGGGTTCATCCTCCGATGAAAGGATGATTTCCATGGCGGCGGCCGATGAGTTCAGCGGCTGGTCGAAAGCCATTGTTTCGATGCTAAGGTGACATCAGCTAAGAAATTTTGCTCCGGCAACTGGCGTTGTTTGGAAATCGACTGAGCTCATGTTCCAGGTCATAACAAGTCAACCCATATAGCTTGGCTCCCGGCAATGCTTGACATCGTGCACATCGTGTTACCTGACAGCATTCGTGGCGATATAGGACATGCGACTAGCACCTGTAGAACTTTGACTGGATTGCTGGGAGTCTCAGGGGTTAGGGTTTTGGGTTTCAGTGCCTCAGGCTTACGGCTTCAAAGGTTTGAAGGCATCCGGTATTGCGAATCGCCGGCTGTTGATTGCATGCAGGGCGCGCTCAAACTAAGGCGCTGGGGCAGCATGATGCTGGCATGATCTCGTGTCCTGAGGCTTCGACGATTTGGAGAGATTCGGATGCCGAAGTCCATCTTTGACCTGGTAGACAGAATTAGAAGTGCATGCGATGCAACACTATATGACATGGCTTTCAGCTGAAGCCAAAAGTCATGTTCTGTCACGAGAATGGATGCAGACAGCAAGGGGCTCCTACTTGACTTGTAGTCTCGCTTGATACACTTCTAGTCTTAATTGATGTGCAATGGCTCTACGTTCTTGGATAAGCCAGACCTGGAATCGTGCATTTTCACTCGTAACCCCTCGCCCCTTCCAAGCACATCACCCCCCGATAAGCAAGACCTGGAATCATACATTTTCACTGTAACGCCTCGCCCCTTCCAAGCACATCACCCCCCGATAAGCAAAACCTGGAATCATGCATTTTCACTCGTAATGTCTCGCCCCTTCCAAGCACATAACCCCCCGATAAGCAAGACTTGGAATCATACATTTTCACTCGCAACGCGCGTGGCTTCTTTAGAATACACCTGTGGATGTGCTGTGTGTTGTTGCCCGGCAATGCTTTGTTGCTTTCGCCGAGCGTGAAGCAACCGCAGATGTCGCAGACATTAGAGGCCCGTAGCTTCTCCGGAGCCGCTCCGGGGCCGCTCCGGGCCTGGAAGCCGGCAGAAGATCCGAAACTTCCGGGTTCTTTTTTGGCGGCCCAGATCCCCTGTAATACACAGCAAACTCGGGCGCAAGGTACTCTTTTGCCGGCTTCCAGGCCCGGAACGGCCCCGGAGCGGCTCCGGAGAAGCTAAGGTCGCAGATTTTCGGAAAACTTCCGGGTTCTTTTTTGGCGGCCCAGATCCCCTGTAATACACAGCAAACTCGGGCGCAAGGTACTCTTTTGCCGGCTTCCAGGCCCGGAACGGCCCCGGAGCGGCTCCGGAGAAGCTAAGCTCGCAGATTTTCGGAAAACTGCCGGGTTCTTTTTTGGCGGCCCAGATCCCCTGTAATACACAGCAAATTCGGGCGCAAGGTTCTTCTCTGCCGGCTTCCAGGCCCAAACGGCCCCGGAGCGGCTCCGGAGTAGCTAAGGTCGCAGTTTTCGGAAAACTTCCGGGTTCTCTTTCGGCGGCCCAGATCCCCTGTAATACACAGCAAACTCGGGCGCAAGGTTCTCTTCTGCCGGCTTCCAGGCCCGGAACGGCCCCGGAGCGGCTCCGGAGAAGCTAAGGTCGCAGTTTTTCGGAAAACTTCCGGGTTCTTTTTTGGCGGCCCAGATCCCCTGTAATACACAGCAAACTCGGGCGCAAGGTACTCTTTTGCCGGCTTCCAGGCCCGGAACGGCCCCGGAGCGGGTTCGGAGAAGCTAAGGCCGCAGTTTTTCGGAAAGCTTCCGGGTTCTTTTTTGGCGGCCCAGATCCCCTGTGATACACAGCAAACTCGGGCGCAAGGTACTCTTTTGCCGGCTTCCAGGCCCGGAACGGCCCCGGAGCGGCTCCGGAGAAGCTAAGCTCGCAGATTTTCGGAAACTTCCGGGTTCTTTTTTGGCGGCCCAGATCCCCTGTAATACACAGCAAACTCGGGCGCAAAGTACTCTTTTGCCGGCTTCCAGGCCCGAAACGGCCCCGGAGCGGGTTCGGAGAAGCTAAGGTGGCAGTTTTTCGGAAAACTTCCGGGTTCTCTTTTGGCGGCCCAGATCCCCTGTAATGCACAGCAAACTCGGGCGCAAGGTACTCTTTTGCCGGCTTCCAGGGCCGGAACGGCCCCGGAGCGGCTCCGGAGAAGCTAAGGTCGCCGTTTTTCGGAAAACTTCCGGGTTCTTTTTTGGCGGCCCAGATCCCCTGTAATACACAGCAAACTCGGACGCAAAGTACTCTTTTGGTTGCTTCCAGGCCCGAAACGGCCCCGGGGCGGCTCCGGAGAAGCTAAGGTCGCCGTTTTTCGGAAAACTTCCGGGTTCTTTTTTGGCGGCCCAGATCCCCTGTAATACACAGCAAACTCGGGCGCAAAGTACTCTTTTGCCGGCTTCCAGGCCCGAAACGGCCCCGGAGCGGCTCCGGAGAAGCTAAGGTCGCCGTTTTTCGGAAAACTTCCGGGTTCTTTTTTGGCGGCCCAGATCCCCTGTAATACACAGCAAACTCGGGCGCAAAGTACTCTTTTGGTTGCTTCCAGGCCCGAAACGGCCCCGGAGCGGCTCCGGAGAAGCTAAGGTCGCCGTTTTTCGGAAAACTTCAGGGTTCTTTTTTGGCGGCCCAGATCCCCTGTAATACACAGCAAACTCGGGCGCGAAGTACTCTTTTGGTTGCTTCCAGGCCCGAAACGGCCCCGGAGCGGCTCCGGAGAAGCTAAGGTCGCCGTTTTTCGGAAAACTTCCGGGTTCTTTTTTGGCGGCCCAGATCCCCTGTAATACACAGCAAACTCGGGCGCAAAGTACTCTTTTGGTTGCTTCCAGGCCCGAAACGGCCCCAGAGCGGCTCCGGAGAAGCTAAGGTCGCCGTTTTTCGGAAAACTTCCGGGTTCTTTTTTGTGAGGCCCAGATCCTCCCGGAATTACCAGCAAAACTCGGGCGCAAGTATCTTTGGTTGCTGTTCCAGGTCGCGAATACGGCCGCCGGAGTCGGCTTCGGAGAAGCTAAGGTCGCGTTTTCGGAAAAACTTTCGGGTTATTTTTGGACGGCCAGATCCCCTGTAATAAACAGCAAACCGGGCAAAGTTCTCTTTTGGTTTTGATTCCAGGACCGAACCGCCCCGGAGCGGTCTCCGGAGAGCTTAAGGTCGCCGTTTTCGGAAAACTTCCGGGTTCTTTTTTGGCGGCCCAGATCCCCTGTAATACACAGCAAACTCGGGCGCAAAGTACTCTTTTGGTTGCTTCCAAGCCCGAAACGGCCCCGGAGCGGCTCCGGAGAAGCTAAGGTCGCCGTTTTTCGGAAAACTTCCGGATTCTTTTTTGGCGGCCCAGATCCCCTGTAATACACAGCAAACTCGGGCGCAAAGTACTCTTTTGGTTGCTTCCAAGCCCGAAACGGCCCCGGAGCGGCTCCGGAGAAGCCAAGGTCGCCGTTTTTCGGAAAACTTCCGGGTTCTTTTTTGGCGGCCCAGATCCCCTGTAATACACAGCAAACTCGGGCGCAAAGTACTCTTTTGGTTGCTTCCAGGCCCGAAACGGCCCCGGAGCGGCTCCGGAGAAGCTAAGGTTGCCGTTTTTCGGAAAACTTCCGGGTTCTTTTTTGGCGGCCCAGATCCCCTGTAATACACAGCAAACTCGGGCGCGAAGTACTCTTTTGGTTGCTTCCAGGCCCGAAACGGCCCCGGAGCGGCTCCGGAGAAGCTAAGGTCGCTGTTTTTCGGAAAACTTCCGGGTTCTTTTTTGGCGGCCCAGATCCCCTGTAATACACAGCAAACTCGGGCGCAAAGTACTCTTTTGGTTGCTTCCAGGCCCGAAACGGCCCCGGAGCGGCTCCGGGGAAGCTAAGGTCGCCGTTTTTCGGAAAACTTCCGGGTTCTTTTTTGGCGGCCCAGATCCCCTGTAATACACAGCAAACTCGGGCGCAAAGTACTCTTTTGGTTGCTTTCAGGCCCGAAACGGCCCGAAACGGCCCCGGAGCGGCTCCGGAGAAGCTAAGGTCGCCGTTTTTCGGAAAACTTCCGGGTTCTTTTTTGGCGGCCCAGATCCCCTGTAATACACAGCAAACTCGGGCGCAAAGTTATCCTTTTGGTTGCTTCCAGGCCCGAAACGGCCCCGGAGCGGCTCCGGAGAAGCTAAGGTCGCCGTTTTTCGGAAAACTTCCGGGTTCTTTTGGCGGCCCAGATCCCCTGTAATACACAGCAAACTCGGGCGCAAAGTACTCTTTTGGTTGCTTCC